TGACAGAATCATAGAATCTCAAGAGTCATAAAAAGACTGACTAGACAATGCATTGTCCCTCACAGTATCCCCAACAAAGAGGTCAGGGAATCATAAAGTTAGATCTTTAGAATTCTAGTCCAATTCTGCCCTCTCATTTAACAAAAGAGGAAACAGAAGCCCAGGTTAACTTGCTAATGATCATACAGGTAGTAAACAGCACAGAAAGAATTCAAACCTAAGTCCTTTGACTTCACATTGCAGGTTTTTACACTACAACACACCACCATCCATCCAGTCTTTCCTTGAATACGGCTAACTTTTATTAAAACCATAAAACAGTTCTGGGAATAGACCAGGTTTAGAAATTGGCTAATTGTTTTACAGCTTCATGGTCTACTCTGATCTTTGTTTTACTTTGTTTTTATTAACAACACCAAACATTTGAATGCCAGATTTCACTGTGAAAAGCCGTGACCAGTAAACACTATCTCCTCAGAAAATACTGTTGTGTTTTTTTTCAAATATCATTTGAATAAAAATAGATAACAGGAAAGGCTTTACCTGGGATCACTTGGCACCCAAACTGAGCCTTGAAGGGAAGCTAAGGATTATAAAAGAGAGAAGGGAGGAAGGGGGGCATTCCAGGCATGAAGGGCAAACTGAAGGAGGCAGGAGATGGAATGCCAAGTTCAGGAAGCAGCAGGGAACTACCAAGTGAATTAAGTCTAGGACAGTAAGGTGAAGCCAGACCACGAAGGACTTTAAATACCAAATGAGAAGCTCAAATTTTATCCCACATGCAAAAGAGAATGTTGAATACTGTTGAGCAGTCAGACTTGTGAAAGTTATTTTGACAGTTGGGTGAAGGCTGTAGTACAGAAAGGACAAGAAGTGACAAGACTGGGCAACTGAATAGACATGGGGTAAAGGGGGAAAGGTGAAGAACAGTTGAGAATAATAAGGTTGTATATTTGGGTAATTGGAAGAGTGCAATGGCCTCAGGAGAAACAGGGAAGTTTAGAGGAACAGCAAGTTAAAAGAAGAAGACAATGCATTCCACTTTGGACATGTTGAATGTGAGATCCCTACAGGACATGGAAAGGTGGTATGAAAGCAAAGTATTTGTCTTGTTGAGATCTGTACACTTGAGTCCACCATAAGGTCATGTTGACAGCAGACATGTTTTGAGAGATATTGTTGAGCTGAACCGAAAAAGGAAAAAAATCTTGCCCTGGGATATTTTCAGAGCACCTCTGATGACACCTAAAGAAACCTTAGGCTGCAGAGAATTCTGGTTGAATGTTCTTAGTTTTCTAAAGAATAACAAAAAATTGGGGCAGCTAGGTGGTCCAGTGGATAGAGCTCCAGCCTTGGAGTCAGGAGGATCTGAGTTCAAATCCAGCCTCAAACACTTGAGACTAGCTTCGTGACCCTGGGCAAGTCACTTAACCCCAAGTGCCTCACCAAAAAAAAAAAGAAAAGAAAGGCTTTTTACTAGCTGTGTGACTCTGGGCAAGTCACTTAACCCCAACTGCCTTAAAAAAAAAGAATAACAAAAAATATATATATGGTTGATATCTGAAAACCTTTTCAGAATTTATTTTACTGTGCTACCTACCCACCATTCCATCAATATTGATCAATTTGGCAATACCTGTTGTGTATAAAGCACTCGGCTGGGTGCTGAGGGAAATGCAAAATTTTGATTAGATGAGTTCTGCCCTCAAGGAACTGTCCATCTATTACTAATTATTGCTGCTGTTGTCTAGACTTCTTTAAAAAGTAAAAAATAAAATAAAATAAACCCAACAGAATAAATGAATAAGAAAATAGGTAAGAAAAGACATGAATAATATTTTAGTAGTCTTTTTTTCCCTTAATTTGGCAATCACTAATGATCTGGTACCTTACAAATTGAATAAAAATTATTTTTAGAAAATAAAGGACATTCATGTAATAGAATACTAGAATACAATTGGGACTAGAAAATGTGAGGAAAAAGAAACCTTCATGGAAATAATGAGACCAGGAGAACAGAATATATATACTAACTATGACAATATAAAAGGAAAAATTAAAGGAAGTGAATGGACCAGGAAAAGCAGAGGGTGTATACATTATGACATTTTATATTATGAATTTCATTTAACTGTAAACAGTCATTAGGGGAGTGACTAAAAGAATAGGAGTACTTGCTGAAAAAAGATAAAAGATCTAGAAAATGCCTTTACCTCTGCCTCTGCAGCATAAAAATAAAAATAATCTGGCTAACAAGAAAAAGTTTTGTAAATTTCACTCAAGGCTTCAGACATCCACTAAGTGCAAAATGCCAAGTACAGCTTTTATTTCTTCATTTTTGCTTGGGAAGGAAATGAGGGGGGGAAATGACAAATTCTAAATTTAAAATATAGTTAATCTTCCTCTTCCTATTTTCCCATTTTTGCTTAATTACCATATGAAATGAAGATTCAATACACTCTAAGACTGATAACTGAACCATATTAGAATTCAAGAGCATTTTGTTTCATGTCTTCTATGAAAACTATTAAGAACAATGTAACTCAAAGATATTGCTTGCAGTTATCATTAAAATATTTTTAGGGAAAAAAACCTAATATAATAATGGCAAGATATAGAAAAACAAAGAATGTATATAAAATCTATCTACAACACAAAAAGTACGAATAGTTTATCTACATAAAAACTTTGTCAATTCTGTCCCTAAAATAGCTTAGAAAAATGTGAAAAATTATGCTTACCATTAATTTGTGGAAGGAGTACTTCCAATTAGAAGGAATATACACCTTAATTATGACTTCATTTTTTTTTAACATTTTTATATACAGTAATGCCTCTATAAATGAAGGTGCAATCCAACAACAAACCTTAGAAATTTCATTACTAGACGAAGAAATGGAATAGATGTTCCAAGATGAATTCCCTTCTTCCTTTCTCTTCTCTAGTGTAGCCTTCTCAACTCACACTAGGTACAATCTTTCCCCTCTCCCAAGATATTTCCCATCTAGTGACAGAAGCCAAAAACACAGGCCTAGCAACCTTTTCTACCACATGACTAGGCTCACAGTCCAGCCAATGGAACTCCTCCCCTCAGGCCCCAGGACCAGGCATTTACAAGTCTCTTCAATTACTAACCTCTGCCTCACCAACTCAGCCAGACTTGGTTCTAAGATGTTTTCCAGTATTACTGTAATTCTTTACACAACTCTCTCACTCTTGTATTCCACATTAGAATTTAGTTACATAGTTATTAAAGTAAGAAAAAAATGATCATCACAGGAGACAAAACAACAAATATCCAAAAGGATGTCTATGTCATGAACCCTTCAAGGTATCTGGGGTTATCAGTGGTATGTTCCCTTCAGTGCACAGCCCATCCCATTCATGCCTTTGTATCTTGGGGAACAGCGTTACAAGAATGGTGATAGTTGGCACAGTGGACAGAGTGCTGGGTCTATAGACTGGAACACCAGAGTTTAAATCTAGCCTCAGACATGTACTAGCTGGGTGACCCCAGGAAAGTCATTTAATCTGTTTGCCTCAGTTTCCCATCTGTAAAATGGGGATAATAGCACCCACCTTTCAGGCTCAAATAATACAATAATTGTAAAGTGCTGGCATACAATGATATAAGTTAGCTATTTTCATTTAAAATGTTCTTAGAACTTGCTTTCAATATTACAATCGTTTCTAAATTCCCAACTTTAACAATAGTGGCTAGCACTTATATAATGCTTTAAGGTTTGCAAAGTTCTGTTCATGTTATCTGATTTGACATTCATAATTCTGGGAGGTAATGGGGGGAGGAAATGAAGAGAGGGAGGGAAGGAAGGAAGGAAGGAAGGAAGGAAGGAAGGAAGGAAGGAAGGAAGGAAGGAAGGAAGGAAGGAAGGAAGGAAGGAAGGAAGGAAGGAAGGAAGGAAGGAAGGAAGGAAGGATCTGCCCTCAACTAGGTTACTTTCTAAGGAGGGATGACAACACATAAAAGGGAGCTAGGAGAGCAACACTGCTTAAGTGAAATGGAACGTGTTCGTTTTGATTGGCACTTAATTGTAAGGTTAATGTAAAAAAGCATAAAATTATGTTTTAGTGTAAATATTTTAATGTAAATTTTGATGTAAAGTATTTAAATGTAAAATGCATAAAATTACCCATTTTACAAAACAGCGCCATTTGCAAATACACAGAACCATAGATTTAAAGCTAGAAATGACCTTTAATTAAGGTCATCCAGTAAAACCCATACCTCTTACTTAAGCTTTACACAGAATCTATGTGCATCAACATTTCATTCTTTGTAATTATGTATTTTGATCCTCCCAACAACCCTGCGATGTGGGTACCATATAGATTATTCCCAGTTATATAGACGAAGAAACAGGCTTAAAGTGTTTGAGCCAACTTTTGAATTCAGGTCTTCCAAACTCTAGGAATGGAGCTCTATACACTTCACACTTTGCTAACTGCCTAGCATATGGTCCGTGCTTATTACTTGAATGATACATTGTCTCATTTGAGTGCTTTCCATAGAATACCTCATTTGATATTCACAAGGCTGTGAGGAGGTAGGTGATATTATTTACTCTATTTTACAATTGATGAAACTGAGGCTGTTAGGTTTTATACCTGATGGTAAGTTTGAGCATCTTGTCATTTTACAAAGGGTGGAATATGAGACCAAAGACTTATCACTGGCCCAAGTTTACCAGGGGAAGTGTCAGAGCTGGAAACCACAAGGTCCACTGACTCCAAAATCACGTGCTTTCTCCATTGCTGACATTGCCTCAATTCAGAAAGGCAAGTTCTGATAAAAGCTAATGACCCGAGAGTAAGAAATGCTTTCCTAGGTAGTTTATCCAGAAAAACCTAAAGGATGAAAACTTGGCTGAACTTTAAACAGAGGGCCCCCACACACGTGAGTAACTCGCGTGGAGGGGAAGGTGGGAGGTTCCGCTGTTTCCGCAAGGGCAGGGCACCGTTCCCGTGCCTGCCTCTCCAAGGTAGGCGGCTCCCCTCCCCCCGCCCCCAAGGGCACGGGCCGCAGGGCAGGCCTCGCACGCGCCGCGCGCTCCCGAGCACCTGACAAGCAGGAGCTCTGGATTTCCTCCGGGCCAGGCCCCCTCCCCCTGGCGTAAGTGGGTCACCCACACACGCTCACGCACGTCCCGGGCCCTCGCGCCCCACCCCCTCGCCAGCAGCCCCCTCGGGGCCCTCACCGACCCCCGCCGGGGAGCTGGCACAGGCCTCGGGCGCCCTGCGGAGCGTGTCACCCACGCACGCACGCCCACGCCGGGCTGTGGGGCCACTTTCACTGTGTTCTGGGGCTGAGGCGTGCCGTCTGTGAGCGGAGAGGGGGCGGCGGGGGCCCCTGCAGCGCCCCAGTCCTTGGCTTTACCTGGGCAGCGGACGCTCACGCTCCCCGCTAATCCTCCTCCTCCTCCTCCCCTCCTCTCTCTTAGGCGCCAGAGGAACCCGCCCGGCCCGGCCCGACCTGAAAGAGAACAGGGAGGAGGGGGCTGGGGGGGGAAGTGGCGGCGGCGGACACGTGACCAAGCTCGCGCCTCCGCCTCCTCCCGCCCCCGGCTCCGCCCCCGGCAGCTCACATGCCCCGCCTACCACGCTTCACCACCATCCTGGGCGGGCACGGAAAGACTGCGTGCGCACACCCTCGCGGAAGGCCCGGGCTCCTCGGCCGAGGTGGGGGCGGAGTCACAATGCGGAGAAGGCGGAGAGACCCTTGTGTCCGCTCCGCCCCGGCCCCGCCTGCCTCCTCCATTGACGCATGCGCACCGCCAGTACCGGCTCATTTCCCGCGCAGCGCTTCCGGGACCTGCGAGGGCGTGGGTTCCAGTCCCAAATACAGAAATTCTAAGGTTTCCTACTTCCCCAGTTGTTCCATGTTGGGGTCAGAGTGGTCTGTTGAGCCCTACTTCTAAAATTATTAGAACCGTCTACAGCTCCAATGCTCGTCCCAGAGACTGCAAGCCTGGCGCCCGGCTCGGGGCGTTTTCCCTGGCTGTGCCCCCTGCCAGGTACTCTCTCCTCCCCAATCATAACCCTGCTTCCCTGGCCAGCTGAAATCCTACGTTCTTCAAGAAGCCTTTCCCATCCTCCTTAATTCTACTACCTTTGACTATTTACAATTTATCCTGTGCGTAGCTTGTTTGTACATGGATGTTTGCAAGTTGTCTTCCCATTAGACATTAGCTCCTGGGGAGCAGTGACTATGCTTTTGCCTTTCTTTGTGGCCCCAGCACTTGGCATAGTGCCTGGCACAGAGTTAGCGCTTAATAAACGTTCACTGACCAATTGGCCCCAACTTCACTGAATAGCAAGTACAGGCCTGCCATGTGGGTACTGATGAATTCATTTTGCCAACTGAAAAGTCCTTATAGATGGTTCATAGGATCCTACATCTAAAAGGGACCTGGGTATGAGAGGGAGGGAATGAGCATTTTAACCCTGGGAAGTAGATGCTGTTGTTATCCCCATTTTACAGTTGAGAAAACTGAGGCAGAGTTAAGTGATTTGCCCCAGGACACACTGCTAGTGTCTGAGGTTAGATCTGAACTGGGTAAAATGAGTCTTCCTGATTCCTTGACCAACATTTTATGCACTGTGGCCATGTACGGATCTAATGTTTTGCATATTGTCTTCTCCATCAAAATATGAGCTCCTTGAGGACAAACCATATCTTTGTATCCCTAATGTTTTGTACAGCACCTAATAGGCACATGGTATGTAAGTCAATGCTTGTTGACTTGTTAGTTTTTAAAGAGGAGGTTCACAAAGATGAAAGTCAAATAACCCAGTAAGGAAAATAGAGGAAATGAATTCTACATGACTTACTATTTTCGGGAAATAGAGCTCACACTGACATTTTTTCATGGTGTCTCTATTCACACAAGTATTCGGTAAAACACAATTTAAGTAGTCATGTGTTACGAAGTTCCTCCTTATGCTGAGCTGAAATCTTCCTCCCACTGGACATAGTTCTGCTTTCTGGAGCCAGATAAAATAAGGCTGTCCTTTTTAACATGATAACCTCTGAACCTTGAAGACTTCTATTTCTGTTTAACCCTATTCTCCTTGTCCCTCTTTGATGTGAAGCATCCTCAACCATGAGGATGGCAGTTTGACACTGTTTTCAGATTCCTCACTATCCTGATGGCTCTCTCTTAAATGATACCCTTGAATTTGGCAGGTGTTGGTATTAGTGCAGTCAACATTGATCCTCACTGAAAGGAGAAGTGTTTTTGCAGGTGGTGAAAGGTGACAAACTAATAGCCAGGTCAACAGGTTAAGAGCTGGAAGGGAACAGGTTAAGAGCTGGAGTTGGAAGACCTGAGTTCAAATTTGGCCTCAGACAGTTTTCTAGCTGTGTGACCCTGGGCAGTCACTTAACCCCATTTGCCTCAGTTTCCTCATCTGTAAAATGAGCTGGAGAAGAAAATGGCAAACCACTCTAGAATATCTGCCAAAAGAACCCCAAATGAGATCAGGAAGAGTCAGGCACAACAGAAAACAACTCAACAACAGCAGCAGTAGCAGCAAAACGGTCTAAGCTCCTTCATTTTTACAGAGAAGGTAATAGACCCGAAAGGACAGGATTGAAAAATGACTCATCAATAACAAACTTGACCAAGACCCCACAGCTAGTAAGAAACAGAGGTCTTTCTTAGGTCCAGGGTCCTCAGCACCAAATTCAACATTCTACTGTCCTACGCTGCCTCCTTTTAGGTAAGAGTCTGGTCCAATGGGTATTGTTTTGAAACCGTGGTAGGCACACTAGTGAAATAGACAGTCAAGAGTGTGAAAAGCTTCCTGAAAATATTTGTATTCCCAAATCTTGACAGGGCTGAGTGAAATTTTTCCCTTAACGATTCAATCCTTTAGCTTAAATAAGAGTGAAACATGAAATATGAAAATCCTTGACTAAAGCCTACCCCTGATGTCCCATCCTTAGCACAGAGAGAGTCTTGGGTTGTCAAAGGCTGAGCCATTGGAGTGTAAGACTTAGCACTTGATTCCAACCTGGAAAGACCTTGAGTACAGTTCTACTGATGTCTGTTACCCAAGGCCTGGTCTGACTAGCTTAGGGAATGTCTAGCATTAGATTGGTCACAGATTGAAGAATTGTTTTTGATCACAGCACTTCTCAGAGATCTTCTATAATTTAGTTATTGACATGTTGAAGTATAAATAAGAAACTCTTGGTCAAGCCGTAATAATCATTTATCAAAATCTTCCCTAAGAACTGTTTTTGATGGGGGGAAGAAGGGATAGCGACAAGCATCCCTGAGGAGAAAAAACGGTACTGAGAAGTTGTCGAAACCAAACTTGACAATTTCTTCTACAACTGGCCTTTGAAATAGGATTGGACTGGGCTACTGAAGCAATTGGGCTATTGGTTGATGTAAATAAGGGACTGCAGAATAAATATGTCAGAACCCAATTGGTGGCCAGAAAATGTCACCCATTGGAGTGTACTTCGTTGTAAGAAGAGAATGAAGGAAATGGCAATGGCTCAGACCCAAGCAAGGGGATAGAGAGTACCCTCAGATTCAAGTGCGAGGGGAGAGAAAGTGGCCACTCATTAGGGTAATCTTTAATGCAAGTAACTGTAGGTAGTTAATAGGGAATTGATTTATGCAGCATTAGGTAATACCCAGTGGACAAAAATTTGCTAAGAAGCCTCCAGAAGTGAGGAGAAATGAGTACAATGGCCCAAGCCAAGGCTTTTTAAGCGTGTGCCAGTGTGCTGGGAAAACTCCCACAGGGGCCATCAGCATTTTGGAGCAATGAGTAAGAAAAGTTCTCTAGCCACCTAGTTAGCAGAAATCAGCTGCTGGCATGTGATGCAGAAAATTCAAGAGCATGATGTCTATGAGGAGAAAGAGAAACAGATGAGCAGCACACACTCTGCACATCTTGTCTTTCATAATATATAGTTCATATAGCCTAATATCCCTATTTTTTATTAAAACATTTCCCCAAGTATGTCTTTTCTTGGCATTAATGAGATAGATTATTTAGATAATAATACCATTCATGGTTTGTATTTGTACATTTTAGAACTTTTCATTTTGATTGACTGTGTCATTATTTTAATCTAGTATATTAAGTTTAAGGGTTTACTACTGTTCTCATTATTTATAAGCTTAACGCCTATGTATGGCTGAGTCAGAGCTACCAAACCTAGCCAAGCAAATAAAAACCAGCAGAATGCCCCAGGTGAAAATTAAGTCTACTCTTTTCAGTACTTGTCTGGTCTTTTCTTCTAGTGCCGACTGAAGACCCTGGATCTCAGACAACTATTTATCAGGGCTGTCAAATTCTTTTTAACTCTTGTTAAATCCCTTATTGTAAGCCTGCTTCCCAAAACATGTTGAGCATCCTGACTCCTTCTTCTCCCTGCCCTGCCCTCCCAAATCCTATATGAGCCACGTGTAGATTGGGTCAGCAAGACTCACTTTGGCACCATGACCCTTTTTATTTGGCATGCAAAAAAACTCAAAGGCCACAACAAAATTTAAGTAAAGAAGGAAAGGTCATCACACTCTATCCCCTTGGTCCTCATCCCTGCCAGAGAGAGACAGAGAGATAGAGGAGAGAGGGGGAGAGAGAGAGAGAGAGAGAGAGAGAGAGAGAGAGAGAGAGAGAGAGAGAGAGAGAGAGAGGGAGAGAGAGAGAGAGAGAGAGAGAGGAAGGACAGAGCAACTTAAACTGCCCTTTCCAAAGTGACCAATGACCTCTTATTTGCCAAGCCTATCGGCCCTTTCTCAATCTTTATCCCTCTTGAGTGACTTCTCTGTAGCGTGGGGCATGGTTTGTTACCTTTCTCCCTGGATAGTCTCTCCTCACTGGGTCGTCATGACAGTACTCTTTCCTGGATCTCCTGCTACCAGTGTGACTACTCCTTTGCTGGATCTTCATCCAGGTCGCACCTACTCACTTTGGGTATCCTCCAAGGCTTTATCCTGTATTGTCTTCTTTTCTTCTTCTATACTATCTCTCTTGGTAGACTCATCAGCATCTATGGTTTCAATTATCATCTCTGTGGAGATGATTCCCAAAGCTATAGATCCAGGCCCAATCAGTATTCTTAGCTCCAGTCTCCAATCACCCACTGTTGTTTGAATATCTTGAATTGGATATCCTATGGGTATCTCAAAACAACATGTACAAAACATTATTATGTATTGCCCTACCCCCCAAGCCTAAACCCTGCTTTCTTCTGGTATTTCCTGTTACATCCTCCCAGTCACTCCCAACCTTGGTGTCATCCTCAGCTCTTCACTCACAGTCCCGCCATATGCCGATCTGTTGTCAAATGTTATTGCTTCTTATTTTTGTTTTGTTTTTGCATCTTTCCCATATGTCTCCACCTCTCTAGTCACACAGCCACCAAACTAGGACAAATCAGGCAAAATATATACAATGGTCTTCAAATCTTAAAATACAATATAAGTGCTAACAGCTTAGCAGCAGCAGCAGTATTGTAGGTCCTCACCACTGAACTATTGAATAGACTATTTCAATAGCTTTCTGATTGGTCTTCTTGCCTCAAGCCTCCCCCTACTCCAGTCCATCCTTCACTCAACTTCCAAATTGATCTTCCTAAAGTGCAGGTCACTCCTCAACTCAGAAAACTCCAGTGGCTCCCTGTTGTGTCTCAGGATCAAATATAAAATCTTCAGTTTTCTATTTAAAGTCCTTCACAACCTGCCCCTCTTCCTGCCTTTCTAGTCTTCACTTTCCTCCCCTGCACATCCACTCCATGATCTGATATTGTAGACCTCTTGCTGGTTTTTCACACAACATACACAGCACTCCATCTCCTGACTCTGTTCCTCTTCAGTCTCTCTCCCTCATGCCCAGATTGCTCTCCCTCTTCGCCTCTGCCTTCTAGCTTCCTTCAAGACTCAACTCCATTCCTACCTTCTGTAGGACAGTTTACTGCCCAGTTCCTTTCTTCTAGAATTACCTTCCATTTATACTGTATATATCTTATATATACATAGTTATTTTCATATTGTCTCCCCAATTAGAATTTGAGGTCCTTGAGGGTTGGGACCATGTTTTTGCTTTTCCT